TGAGGACTCAAATAACAGGAAGTGCGTCTCTAAAGGGACCGTCCGGATATACGCCCATTTCTGCAGCGCCTGACGGGACACTCCCCTCCTTCCCTCCTCCTCGTCTTCCCACAGTATGTCAACAATCTGAAGGGAACATTGTATAGCATCCCATTGTAGCTGCCTACCTCATCGAAAGTCTCATCCCAGCCGAGCTCCTCTACTGACAGGAGACCGTTCCTATCGATGTCGAGATGATAGAACAGCGAGGCGAGAGAAGCCGCATCGAAGAGCTGCACTGCCTGGCCGAGTAACCTACTCCGTCTACTGTGATGTCACATAAATTCCAAACGAAAGATCCCACCTAGAGGCTCTTAATTTCGTCCATGGAGTGATCACTTCCAAAGGGATCGCGTCATACACCGACAAATCATCGAAGCTCTGAAGGGAGGCCTTCCACAGCTGACCAACAACGGGCTCACCGAGTCAGCAAAAATCCCCCTGCCAGCCTTGAGGGTCTGGTCAAGCTCAAGAAATGTGCCTCGGGTGAGATCGGCAGAGACGACACCATGGCCCAGCGGCCCATACGGTATCAGCTCCTCCATGATGGGCTTGAAATCCGAAGCCAGACGGATCAGGCCGAATTCAGAAGGAGCCACTTTGCCTGAAATGCCCTGGCGCACTGGTGGAAGTTCGAGGGATGAAAGCCTAAAGAGTTACCATCGCCATCCTCATCTAGGAACCGAACAAGCTCATCGACATCCTGCTTGCCCAACTTGGCCAGCTCACCCATCACCTTCACAGTGACGATAGCGGTATCCTTCTCAACGCTATCATCCCTTCTAGGGAGTCTACAAGGTCACCAAGGACGACCACCTATTCGAAGCCCCTCGGCTACTCATTAGTTGCTATCCACTGCACGACAGCAGGGGTAGCATGTTGGCTGCGACCAGCAAGCCTTTGCCACTCTGTTCGTGACAGTTTCCCAGACCCGTCGGCGTCCAAAACCCCAAAGAACTAAATGCCAGCAGACCTCCAGGATCCCCTCGAGCCGAGCAGTAGCCCACCCATTGCTTGTCCGCGTCTTCAGCCTTAATCTCGACCTCCTCCAAGGTGAGCTCATTGTCGCCATCCTTATCAAACTGCATGAATCGATCATGCAGCTGTAAAGCCTCGACAAACCGGTATATCAACGGGAGGTTCCTGAGCGCTGAGACCAATACGATCACTTCCCCATGCAGCCCATACGCTGAGTGTTTGGTCGCCAGATGGAGGGCTTCAAAGTACTGCATGTCCACTGTATCAGTAGTATTATCTCCCAGGAGCTTCAGGACCTGGACAAGGGTGACGACCGCGGTCGAGACTAGGGCTCGCCTCCACTGGGAACAGCTTCCTATAGGACCCACTATGGGCCCTCATGACATTCAACTCAGCATGGGAGAGGACTCCATCGCCATCTATATCCGATGCGTAGGCCGATACGGTCAGGTGAGGTAACTGCTGAGACAATGCCAGAGGATAAGGCCGTGAATGACCATACCAATGCCGCCTCAGTAGTCGCGCTACCCGAAAAGGATCCCCCCTGAGGGCAAGCGATCTCGACCACCCCTGCAGGTCCTTCCTACCGCCCGTTGCAACCACGACGACGTACTCAATACCCCATCAGAAGAGATGCTCATGTCCGCCTCAAAGCCGCGCCTCAATGCCCCTCCGAATTTGTCCCGGTAGGAGACGCCCTCCGGCGCGCCATAGAGGAGCTTTTGAAATCCAGGGGCTCGTGACTGGTTGCGGTCTGCATCGTATTATTCCATCGATCTCAGATATCACCCACCCTGGTCCGCCTTCATGCTTTTCCTTTGCTTTGTCGGCTTATGCCTCTCCTTCCCGCCCTCCTCAGGCCTCTTCAGCCCCTCCTCGGACGAATTGCCAGCCGCACTCTTTCGACTGAGGCAGGCCCTGGTCACCCCTAGCCTAACCCCAGCTCACCCCATCATGTCGAGCTTCGCCTCTCGAGGGGTCGAATGGGCGAGGACCCAGTACTGCAAACTCTTCCTCGACAGCCCAGCCCGACCTCCTCGGGGCCCAGTTCGAGTTAACTCCTCCATGAGCTGAACCAAGGCGAGCTCTGACCCTTGACGCCGGCACTGACCAGACCAAGTGAGCATCCTCTCCCTCCCAATTGAGCTCATCCATCGACAACCTCCCATCCCTGTCCCGGTCCAAGCTGTAGAACAGCGAGTCCATGTTCATTGCAGAGAACATCCCAGCCACCGGCCGAAGGTGCCTAGACAGACCCTACTGAACTCTACCAAGGCCGTCATCACTTCCTATTGCGGAGCTGCATCCAGCTGCTGAGTACCCGGACCGGGATGAGCTTCCTTCGAGGATCGGACAGACGCGCGAAAGCCTGACCAGATCAGCCGCCCGGTGCAGTCCCTCATTGGATCGCCGACCCACCTCCGGGCCGAATATCCTCTCACCGCCTCCGGTCCTTCTCCCCAACTCTTCGAAAGCTGCCTCCGTCAAGTCTTCCGCGACAGGCGGGGCCTCTAGAGCCCCTTCAAACGGCAATATCATCTCCACCACGTGATGCATATCCCCTAGCAGCCTCAGACGGCCGAATTCTGATGGTGACAACTTCCCTGAGGGAACCACAACAACACAGAATCCCTCAACACCATCAAGCCAACCGACCATCCCCATCGATGTCGATGAAGTCCCTGGCATCTTCCACCTCGTCCTTGGTCAAAGTATCCAGCTGTCGCAGTGCCACTACCATCACTCTCGCCAAGTCCATCGTATAGTTCTTATCGCGTTGAGGCAGCCTGCCATATCACGATGATTGTCCTCAATAGGAGCCCTCGGCCCTCACTTGGTCGCCACCCACACAGCTGCATCAGGAGCCGCCTCATAGGAGGTACCCGCCAACGTCATCCAGTCCCTCTCTGATATCGAAGAGCTGTTGGCAGTACCAAGGAGGTGCCTCAACTGCATTGACCATCAGTGGCCCCCCATCCACCGTAGGCGTCCCACCCAAGCGGCCTCCTCAGCCTTGATGCCGACCCCAACGAGTTCCTCCTTGCTGAGTTCTTCATCCCCATCGCGGTCCATATCCACGAACTTAACATGTAGCTGCAATGCCTCCACCAAACCGTAGACCAACCCGACCGTCCTGAATAATTCCTTCCAAGCCTCCGACCAGGCCCAGTATCACCGATAGTCTTTGGTACAGAGGTGCAGCTCCTCCA